AGGGAAATCTGTCACTTTTATTACTATATGCGTTGCAGTTTTAATCTTCTCAGTGTGTAATTATTTCTAAGATGTAAAAAGTGCTAAAGTACTTAAGGGCATGAAAAGATTCTTACTTGTTTGATAGATGTGTTTTACTTCTCTTAAACTCTTGTTTGATCAAAGCTTTTAATATTTTAAGTAATCCAGAACTGGTTGAGATACCTAAACTTAATAAAGAAGAAAAAAAAAAAAAGGAGAGGAAAGATTACCTAGTTTGCTCTTTTGTAGTTTTGTTTTGTAAAAGCATTTAACTACTTCTGGTAGTCAAGATTCCTTGCTGCTAAACATCTCTGAACAGCTTCATGGCTTTGGCTGTTCATTGGTATAGTGTCAACCCTGTTTATACTGGAATCTACTATAGTATAGGTGGGTAACAGCCATACAGGGGGTGGGGATATACAGGTACACACACACACAAAAAGAATATAAATGTAATTACATATATATACACCCATAAACACTATATAAATAATTTCCAACACACTTCCAGATTTATGTCATCAGCACTTTCCTTCAGATAAGTGGTGAGAATCTGAGTCATGGTGATGAGGAAAACAAAAATATCTCTGCTTAGTCTATTCTACCTGTAACAGATGATCTTTGTTCTGAAGGTAGTTTTGAGAAGATCTCCTTACTTGCCTGTCTCTGTGTTGTTTTGCTGGTCAGTACTTACCACCTCTGTTTATTCTTGGACATCCTTTGCTGCCTTCCCTTGCAGGAAGATCTGAGTGGCTCTTTACAGGGCTGCCTTGGGGGACATCTCTAGTTTGAGAGTGTGGCACACAGAGATTAGAATAAGCTTTCACAGTGGTGGTGGAGGATGTGACTGAGTACTCATCCTGCTCCTTGATTAGTCTCTCTCATCCTGGTCCCTGATTAGCCTCTGTGCCACTCAAGGAAATCAAGAGGGCTTAGGTATTTTAATATTTTTGCCAAAAACTCCTTTTTAAAACTGTGTTTCTAGTGTGATTAATTTCTAGGATTATCTAAGGCAGTTTGTCTTTGATCAGATGAGTATGAGGATTCTCCTAACCTGGGTAGCCTCCCCACCTGGTCTTTCTTCAGCGCAAGTTTGTTAGACTTCAGAGAGCTTACAAGAAAGCATTTAAGATAAAAGGACTCTGCAGTAGAAGGGGGTTTTATACCCTTCTAAAAGGTCACTTCTATAATATTCCTTGCAGATTTTTTTTTTAAGAAAAATAATTCCTTCATTAGCTGTGTTGTGCAGTTAAGAAGATAGCTGTGCACACAAATCTGCAAAGACTTGGTTTGCAGATTTTCAAAAGACATGCTGGCAAGCTCAGGGGGAAAACATTTGGAACAAAGTGACAATTTTTTGTCATACTTCTCCTGGATATGTTGACAGTGACTGAAGTAGCATACTCTGTGCTCTCAGATATTTTAAGATAAACAATCTGACCATGCAAATTTCAGTTCCCAAGATGCAAATTTTTCCTGTGTTGGCTTCAATTATTCTCTTTGCCCTTATGGAAGACTAAGATGGCAGAACTTGCTTGCATCCCTGTGTATGAACAGGGAGAAGGAAATTACACCCAAGGGATCCTGAGCACTTGAGGACTAGGAGCTGTGGCCAAGGAAAGTAAGAAGCAAGTAGGAAACTGTGCTGAGAGTTAAATACAAACCTCTTTTTCCTGCTTTTTACACACACACACCCAAATAAATGGTAATGGAGTGGGGATAAAATTTGTCTTTTATTCTGCCAGTCATCTTCCCTTTGAAGGACATGTAGTTGGTCTGGCCACCTGTACTCAGCAGCAGCAGCTCCTGTGGCTGCTGGCAGGGACAGTTCTAGCAGCCACCACTAGTGATGTGCCAAATGGGGAGCACAAGTGGCAAAGCAGCAGGAGACAAGGACTAAGAGGATAGGGGGGCACAGAGCTGAAAACTCTGAGGAGGAGGAGCTAGGGAGCATGTCTCCTGCATGCCCATCACAGCTGGTAACACATGACTGAGATTTCCTGTTTCTCAGCAAGTTCTGTAAATATGGAGTGTTGGATGGTGAACTGGGGAGTTTGCTGTTGGCATGTAGGTAAGGGTTAACATCATACACTGGTACTACTGGTTTGCTTCATGAGTGGTTACAGACCAGCCAGGGTTCTTAAATGTCTTTTGTAGGAAAAGATTCCTTAAAGTATAGAGCATCTTTAGCTGCTTTTTCTGGTAATCTCAGAAATTGAAATAAGTTTTGGGATGGGCTGGAGAGTAACATGGTCAGCTGAGCACTCTGAGAGCAGAGCCCTTTTCAGATGCAAAGAACCCTTCTATAGTAGATTTTATGGTTGTACCTATATAGTCCCAGCTGAAGCATGACAACTTACTTAATGAACTGTGTAACTATCTACAAATTCTGCTGCAGACACCTGAATCTGAAAGACTTGAGTTGTAAACAGATTCTAGCATATGGAAAGCAAGGGTTTGTGCACTTGACCTTGGAGCAGGGTGTGCTGGAAGCATGCTTTGAGGACAGATTTGATTGAAAAGCATTGCCCAATCATTCAACAGTTATGGAGGTGTTTGGTTTTTTTATTCTCATAAAAATAGGATGGAGAACAGATGGTGAGAGAACAGCAGTTAAAGCTAACTGAACCAGTTATTGCTCCATTTTCAATGAAAACAAATATTTGAGGAACTATACTGTATTTTGGGGGGGTTGCAGTTTTGTTCTTGTCAGACTGCTGTCACAGTGCTACTGAAATGTTCAGCCATAATAACTGAGAAGGTAGATATAACAAATCCTGCAATACTTTCTTATTTAGTTCTCTCTGAAGCATTTAAGTGGTAAATGGGCATTGGTGTATACTTGATTTCTCCCACATGCTACTGTAATTTTGTTGTGGGACATTCAAATTAGGACTTAAACCAGACCATTCCAGTGATGACTGCTGAAAATTGTTGTTCTTTTTTTGCAGAGAACTGGCACTGACTATCCAAAGAAATTATGGAGTTCTTTAATGAAATTAATTAATAAATAGGTGTGCGTATATATATAAAAATATCTGAAAAATTAAATTGGAGTGTTGTCTAATTTCAGCTGTTAAAGAACATGAGAAGAACAAAGAAAGAAAATCCAAAGACTATGGAAGGTCCAAGTCAAAGAAAAAGAAAAAAAAGAAAAAGAGAACTAAATCTGGTAAAGCTCTTCTTTCTTCTGTAGAGGAAAACAGCTTCATCATTTTGTTTTGCCTGTTACCCAGTTGCACTCTGAGGGGCACTGCATGTAACACTGCTTTCTTCATTGATCTGTTAGTTCTGATTTTATTAAGTGGTTCTTGTTAAATTGGGGTTGGCAAGATAATGTATTTTCTGCTCGAGGTGCATCATTAGTGCTGGATGATGGCTTATGATAGTGCTTGTAGTGGCACAGAATAAATGGAACTTCAAAATGCATGTTTCAGTCTTTTAAGTCTGGCCTTTCCATTAACAAGTGAACTTGTATGCAAGTTTTACCCAGTTAGAGAGTGCAGATCCCCTTGATTTGTTACCAAGTACCACACATACCAGATGTGCTCAGTTATGAGTTAATTTTGGGGTTCCTGCAGGAATGATCAAGTTTGGAAATGCTGACTCCTTTTTTTCTGCTGTTAACCTCATTATTTCTCACATCTTCACTTAGTGTGGGATTTCAGAGACTGTGACAATGAGCTCTGTTAAATCTGTCACATCCTAAATTTTTTTCCTAAAGGATAGATCTGGAGAGATGAACCAAAAGCCTGATTTAAAATCTGAACTCATGCTGTGTCCCTCAGTTGTGTCTCAGAACATGTTGTTCCACCTATGATAATAGGATTGTAGTGGGAACATTTCTGTTGATTTAATCTACAGAGGCTTGGGAGTGCTTTCCTTGGGCCATGTTGCACTTTGAACTTCAAACATAGGCCCAGGTGTTATTGGTGATTGGATTCTTCACTTTGGAAGGTCACAGCTGCTTCTGAAAGATTTCTCTAGTGAAATATTTGCAGAGCAAGAGCAGCAGCTTTCTCTGCCATTGATGGATGTGTAGGATCTTTCATGCAGAAATGGATCTGGCACACGTTCTGTTAAACTAGAGTTGGTGGAGGAGTTTCTGAGACAAAAGAAAATACCTGATCTTTTAGTTTGCTTCCATTAAGGAATGAGCAAGCTGTCATGAGAGGGTAGAGGGGAAGAGAATACTACAAGCAGACTGACTCAGAGTTGTACTGCAACAAATCGTTTTAGTTAGTTTCTAAGTATAATTTGTAAACTTACGCAGTAGTTGCACAGATAGAACCCAGAAACTGCTTGTACCCTTGGGTTTTAAAATGTTACTTGACTTGTTTATGTTGCCCTTGTGGTTCTTCAGTCCAGGAACAAAGAATGTTTTCTTCAGGTAACAGGTTGGAGGGTTCTGCTTGTAATTGCAGTCAGCCTCTGTTTTATACAGTCCATTTTTGGTTGTGATTGGGGCATTTCCACCCATGCATCCTGTTCCATACATAGACCAGGAAAATAAGAGAAGAGATGCTCTCTGTCCACTTGGAGTCTATGAGATTTGGGTGGGGAGGGGGGAGGGGTGTAAGCCCATGTGAATAATATGGCATGTGGGAGGAGGTCTCCAGCTGGCACAGCTGGTGTGGAAGTGCCTGTAATGCAAAAGCATTTGTGAACATACTCAGCCTGAAGAATAGTTAGGTTGACGTAACCAGCTTTTTCAGCCTTTCTTACATCAGCAGTGAAGGGGGACTGAGCTGCATTAGATTTTTCTGGTCCAGACAATAACTTTCTTGCTTCTAGAAAGCTTGCAAATCTTTCAGCAGCCTAGTGTAGTCTTAGATGCCTGGCATTTTGAAGTGGGAACTGTCTCAGTAAATTACACATGCCTGCTATGGGCATGCATGGTGCTCATTTTGCTTCTGCCAACTTTCCTTGACCACAGATTTCAAATAACTCTTACTGTAATTTTACAGAATACTCTGGCAGTGAAGAGAACACAGATATTTCGCTGGAGCTTTCTCCTGAAAAGTCAGTTGTCACAAAATGTGTATCTTCAAATAAATCATCTGCCCACCCAAGCACAGCGCTACGCTGCTCTGATCCCAGACAGCACAGAGGGAGATCAAAACCACATGGTAAGTGACTCTCCTCATGGTTTCCTGCTTCTCTCATTACCAGTAAATGTAACTAATTACCAGAACTGCACTAATACGTGCAAAAGCTGGTTCTTATAATGCAAATTTGGCTGTTCTTGCACAGGACTGCGTGTCCTTTCCCTTGCCTGGAGAAGTTGAACCCAGTTCATTTGCCAGAGTTTGATGTTGCTGCTTACCTTCACAGAAGCTTTAAGAGTGTTGACCTCATTTTAGACTCACTCATTTTGCACCTTTTTGCAGCACCCTATTAACTTTATAATAACAACACTCAGGCTTGAATAATTATATTTTTCATATTTCCTAAGGTTTCTTCAAATAATAACTTATTTAGAGTTAAAAACAGATGCTATTCAAGTTTTATACAGTATGTGTGCTATATTTGAGAGGCCACTGGCAGTGGTTATGTGTAGTTGTACAGATACAGTATGTGATACATGTTTATAAAGACTTTCTGAGCTTCATAACAGTGAGAAGCTCTTGTGTATCTATTTATTAGTGTCTTCATAGTGCTTCATAAACAGAGCTCATAAAAATGTGGCTGCTGTGTTCCAGGCTTCATAACTTCTAATATTGATCCATCTTTATAGTCACCAGCTGGTACAATAAGAAAGGAAGGCAAACATTGTGTTCTTTCTGCTAAAGCTCCCCGATTTGAGGGAAATGGGACAGCCTGGTTGTGTACAGGGGCCTTAAACTCCTGATCATACAGATACACTGGTGACCCTTTGGTTTTATTTTTACACAACTGTTCCATTGTTTGGTGTTAGGCAAAATGTAAAAAATTAACTTTGTTTAGTTCCATTATATAGGGAAAAGAGGAAACATTAAAAACTACTGAAGTGCAGATGGTGATAATGTCTTAAAACCTGTTCTGCAAGTCTGATCAGTTGGGGTTTTGGAGCGTGTCCAGCATAGAACATACAGCTTACTAACTTGGTCATCAGTTGCTCAGACCTCTTTTCATCAGTTCATAGACATTGAAGAGATGAAAACTATTGCAAGTGGTTTTATTTCACCCTTTCCACAACTGCTTTGCTGTTTTTTTTCATCCACCAAACTTGTAATAACAATAAAAATATAAATACATAAATAAGACCTTGTGTCATAATTAAACTCTTGTGAGGAATGGAAGTGCAGGGTGCCTGACCTGTTACTTTCTTTCAGGGAAGTGTGTGGCATCTCAGAGGTAGAGTCAAACATTTAAACATGAAAATTAACTAATGCTTTGTGTTCTCAGCCCCTCAAATTAGAGAACAGGTGTTTCTCCAAAAGATCTAGCTTGTACCACAGAGTGGTTCTTTGGTTTCTACTGCACTTAATCTTTTCTTCTGTTGTTGTAGGTGCATTCATATTATTGAGATAAGCTTCTCAGTTTAGCATGTTGTTCAGTAAAGATTTTTGTGGCAGTTTTACTCAACCCACAGAGATGCATTAATGCTTTCAGTAGCTTGGGAGCATTCTTTTAAGAGTACCTGCCCCTCAGTTGAGAAGTGTGTCCTCAACTGGAGTCTAAATGAAAAGAATTTCTGAAGCAGGATTAAATTCGGTGTTGAGCTCTGAATGTTTCTGTAAGGGAGTCATGACTTTGTGAGATCAAATGGTTCCTAAGACAGAACTCTCATTTCTTTTTGGGTGCTTTACACTTAAAGTACCAAGCCACAATTTATAAATCTGGTTTTGTTTATTATGCATGCTTGTATAAAGAGACTTTGTGCCTTTGGTTTGAGGCAATGTACGGTGAGGCTACAATTTTAATGGCAGAAGCTGTTAAGTTGGAATATTTTGAAGGAGCTGTTAATGAGAATATAAAACTTCAATTGTAGGAACCTTCAGTAAATGTACTGAAAGTTCCTACAAATTAAATTTTATATTCTCATTAATATATCCACATATCTCATTAATATATCCTTATATAAGATTATGAAATCCTTCATAATGCCATGACATGGTGATGTTCCTTAAATTACACAGTGAACTCATGCTTTTAGAACTGTACATCTGTATACCCAGGATGAAATCTTCAGAGTTACTTGACCTTCTTGTAATTAGTTAGGATTTTATCTAACTACTTTTTGTGCAGAGGATGACACCCTGAGTGAGTCATCTATGGATAGCTTCCTTTGGAGTGATGATGACTGCAGCCAGGATGTGGATGTAACCACAAACCCTGATGAAGAAGCTGAAGAAAGTGATTTTGAGATTGTTCGGTGTGTTTGTGAAGTCAAAGAAGAAAATGACTTCATGATTCAGGTATGAAGTGGAGGGTGAATGCAGATGTCAGTGAATATGGGGGATGGTGTTAGTGGAAAAGGTTTTTGCAGAAATGTGCATAGGCACCTTCTGTACATGAGATAAACCATTGTTGTCCTCTGAAATAATAACCTTATTTAATATAAGATAACCTGTCAGGGTGAGAGCTGCTGTGATAGAGGTGCAAAACTTTACTTTCTGGTACAGTTTGTGAAAAATCTTCAGTTTTTTTTTAATCAAAGGAAAGTGGGGGAAAAGGAGCAATTCTATACAAACGAGTGGCAATTGGCTTGTCACTTGTGGATTTGCATTTTTCTAAAAATTAAAACACTTTCTAGATTTAGAGAATACATACTGAAAACAAGTGGCTTTATTGCTTTCCTGTAATTCTGAGCATGTTCAGAACATTGCCACAAGAATGTGGTGTCCTGCCATTTCTCTGCCCTGGCAAGAACCTTGACTTAAACATCCAAGTCCCTAGATAGGATAAACAAAAAAGCACTATGACTTAAGTCTTTCGTTTTGAAGCAGAGCTGTATTGGTCCATTTCGCAGCTTCTTTTGTAGATTGTAAATCAGAGTCCCTGATCTGCATAAGGCTCTCTGTCCATTCTCCATATTTGTATGCTTTTTAAACCAACTTTACAGAGAATTGCCAGAGCAGTGTCTGTGATCTCTCCCACTTAAAACTGTTGTTAAAAGCCTCTTGGCTTTTAATTAGGAATTCTTGGGAACAGCCCTGGCTGTTTAATTTTTGTTTTAGACATTTGTATATTATCAGGAAACTTATTAATTTTGAATAGTGAAGTCAAACATACCAAATAAATAACTTATTCAGCATTTTTTTCTTCATTTTGCCACTGCTCCTTATGTGAGCTGCATGGTCCCCTTTGGTGGTTCCCCCCAAGGCTTAGAAGCAGCATATTCAGAAGCTGAAGTGTGTGATGCTCTTGAACCTAGATCATAGTTGCTTGTCTCAAAAAATGAGTTGTTTCTATTTTAATTTTTCCCCCTTTTTATTTTTAGGAGGTTCCCACCCTTCCTCTCTAGATACCTTTGTGCTTGTTATGGCACCTCAGTTCAGAGGGACAGCAGGATAGGATAGGACAGGGCAGCTGTGCTCATGGCAAATTGCAAGGCAATAATTGCCTTCTTTTGAGAAGGTTGTTTTATTTGTGAAAGGGGATGATACTGACTTCAGAAATATTTTTCTGGGACACAAACCTACTGCCTCGTCTGCAGCTTTAGAGTTCACTTTCCCAGGCATTCTGTTGCTAATTTTGGTGAGGTTTGAATCCCACTTTCCAAGACCCCCTTACTGAGACAGGTGCCAGCATGTTCCTGGGAACTGCCTTTCTTTTTTGGTGTTTGGAACTAGGAGGAAAGACAGAAGCTGGTCTATACCTACCTCACAGCTGCTGCTGCTTTTTTGATGGACTTTATTGTTTGAATGGAGTTAGAAAAATCTACTAAGTAGAAGAGGGAATGCACTGTTAAAACAGTGGTGTGGAGAATTCTTGGCTTCTGCAGCAGGACAGTAGAAAACACCTTTTTTACACTGAACATCAATAGCCTAATTTTTAATGAATTCATTAGGACCAATGCAGCTAAGTTTGATTTTTGTCTTCAAGGCCAAGTTTACTGGGTAGTTTCTTTTGGCTTTCCATGCTATTTTATGGAGATTTGCTCTGCTAGAAGGTGGAGTGTTGTGTCCAGTTCTGGGCTCCCCAGTTCAAGAGGGACAGGGATCTACTGGAGAGAGTCCAAGGGAGGCT